TTTGTAGGTCTGACAGCTGTGTCTTACAAATTAGGACAAACGGGATAGTCAGGTTATGCAAGGGAGTTCAACAGCAACATCTTCCTTGCCCATTAATAATAAAATGTATGAAGATAATTGAATAAGAAGTTATTTCTCCAAACCTGTTCATTAAAACCTGGACCAGAGGAGGAAAAGGGCAGGAAAGGTGTTTCCTGCTACTGAATGAGAATCATTCTAAACACAGATGCTCCAGCCAATTCAAAGGCTAAATTCTCCTCTCTGTTGCTCACTCTATTGGTTCTTTTAACTGTGGTTTCTTAACATGTTTAAGATTTCTCTTGACATGGATAAGAGAAATTCTGAACTCAGAAAGACTGGAAGAGAGCGATAAAAGATCTGTTAGGAAGACCTGAGAGAGAAAGATCACTTTATACGGTTCTTAAATATTTTAAAACAGTACCTTCTTCTCAAGCTATGAACAGATGGACAATTTATGGTGAGATGGGCAAAGACAGTATCAACTTAGTGAATGCCAGCTGCTTTGCTCTAGCTGCCTACATGAGGTGGTTTTCACTTCAGCATAACAGCATGCATATGAACAGTTATCACAGAGTACCTGACACAGGGGATGAGCCTGCATTTGATCTTGCTTTACCATAACTTACATGTCTATAACCAAACTAAATGTAAGAACTTAGTCAAAACTTCCACCAACTTCAGCCAAATCAGTTACAGTCTGTCTCCAAAGGTGTCAGGGTAAATACAATATTTTAAATTACTCCAGGGTTATTCAGAGATTTAAAAATTGGTCAGAAAATTGGTAAAATCAAATTTAAAATCAGAACAAAAACAAATATCTGGAAAATCACATGACAGAGATCAAGCCTGCCTGGTTTCTGCAAAAGGAAATTATGTCTTAGTAATAAGTGTTTTGAATATCTTAATAAAGTAATAAGCACAGCCTTTATGGGATGGTTTAAATAGGTCTTTGGAAAGTTCCAGCATAGCAATTACTACAGAAACTAAATAGCTGCTGCCTAAGAGGCACAGTATTGAAAGAAATAAATACCTGAATAGGAAGCAGAGAGCAATTGCTTCATTTTCATCTTTGAAAATTCATTTCATTTACAGAATAATTATTCCATGTCTGGACTCATGTTTTATTCCTTAATTAACAGGAAAAGATAGAAATAGTAATGTAATGAAATTTTCAGATGACATAAATTAGTTAAACAATTCAGGACCAGAAGGATCTGTGATACACTGAATTTAGAAGGTGAATGGACAGCATGACGGCAAAGAAAATTTAGTGTCACTAAAAAGAAGATAATATATACTGGAGGGAAAATATCAAAGAAGAATTTATCTCTGAATTTACTGTAAAAATTCAGGAAAGGACCTAAGTATTACTGCAGACAAATCAGTGAAGAACTTTCTTCCATATGCAGATGCATTAAGAAAAATGCATATAGTGTTTTAAGGCCCTTGCGTAAATCAAAGATGCACCTTGTCTGGAGTGTTGTGTACAAAACTCTTACATGATAGTGTGGCACTGGAGTGGGCTAGGAAAGAGCAACAAAAGTCTCACAGAAGGAGAAATAGGAAAGATTCAGATTACCTTTGAGATTAATTACTATGATCATGATAAGATTGAAAATCACAAATCTAAGACAAGGGCTTTCCAAAAACACCACAGAGGAACTGGATATCTATATGGAAATGCAGTTTTTACAGCCCAAATTTTCATAATTAATTATTGTAAATTTAGAAAGGAAATTAAATTTCATGCCTCAGGATGGAAACCAATTGCTTGTAACAAGAAAATAAGAGGAGAATTTGTGGAAGAAATCACTTCTTTGACAGTATTCAACTAAATATCTGTTCTGGGCTACTGCTGGGTTACAAAGCTACATGGAATGGACTATTGTTGAGTAGGAAATGGTGTTTTCAAGATGTTTGGTATTTTCAAGATATTTTCAAGATTTCAGAAATGTTTCTGTTTGGTGAACAGCTCAGAAAAAAAGTCCCTCAGAACCATCACTATCTATGGGATTAAAGGACTGCTGGTGATCTACATTCAAGTTTCTGATACAAGTTAAAAACAATACAACCATACTGAATCTGAACATATTTTTTTTCTCCATGAAAATACTTACTATATTGACACACTTTTGTTACCTTTCCACCATGGGAAATTTGTCTTTATTTTCCCACCCCACTGAAAAATTTTTGAACAAGGTCTGCCATGAGTCTGGTTCATAACGATATTTTTTTTTCCCATTCCCAAACGATAAAAGATGATGGTGCTCACTTCTGGTTTCTGGAGTAGTTGTCAGTCTGGATTCATGATCCCTGAAAACGGGATGTGTATGCTTGATAAACATATTTTGCTTTTTATCGTATCTATATTAACTGGAAATGTATGATTGGATTTGGATAGGTCTAGGAAAGGAAGACAGGTAGCTAACTGAAGTCGCTGTGATTTAAAGCTGTTAATATAGTCCTATTTGAACAGGTTTGTAGGTACAAATTCCTAATTCAAGAACTAGATGATACCTCTCATCAGTACAGTGCAAAAAAAGTCACCTTAAGAATTTGTTCTTTCTCTAAATAATCAAGGTAAAAAAGAACACAGCCAAGAGCATCTCTCATATCTGAGCATCACAGTTCATCATTCTACGTTATTTCATGCCCTTGCCTGCCCAGCTACAATATATTACTCACATTTGTTCTCAGCAGGTAATCTGGCTTTTTATCAGTTGTAGACCAAATTCCTTGGCTAATCTATCCATCTTTTTGCTGCATTTCAGATACAAACACGTCTCAGCTTCTGAAAGAGCAATGCAAATGATGGTGTTTGTGCTCTTTTTCATTTATTCCTTGTCATTTTAAGTTTGAATAACAGGATTTGATCAGAGTGACGCTATTGGCAACAGTAGTCAGAATGAGGTCTCTCCTGTCTCTTAAGATTTGTTGAGCATTTACAGTACATTCCATCAGAAAAACCGTGGCCAAGGTGAAAATTCAAACAGATGTCACAACAGGATATAATAGCATAATAACAGAAATTAGCTAGCCATAAGTGCAGCGGCAGGCATGGACGGACCTTGCTCTGCCCGTGCTTGCCTTGGGACCAGAAGCATGGTAAGCCACATCCTGTAAGCTGGCAGGACAGAAGTCAGGAGGAGCCCAGAGGTACGCTGCATGTTCGCTTATAAGCCCTACCCAGAGTCTTGATATTTGGGGTTTCTGCTGATTTGGGAGTCCCTCCAACACACTTCAAGTGGCAAGTATGCCTTTCAAAAGCCACTGAGGCTTCTGTAGCAGCTTCTGGGGGAAAATATACTAAATCCTCTGTAATGAAAGTTTTGTGAAAGGCACGCTTCACAGCTTTGATATGAACATCACCTATGAAAGCAAAGTGATTCCAAAGAGGACCAGATCCTGGAAACCTTGTGCCTAATTTTCACTAATTCTACGCATGAAACCTTTTTTCCACTGCTGGGCACATTCTTGAGATACTAAAAATTTATTTCATTCTCAAAGGAGAGTAAGTGGTAGAAACCTTGAAAAATCTTTGAAATCAGAATTTTTTTTGCCGCAGGCCATTGATAGATAGCATTTCAGTAATTTCAGGTTTAACATTTTCCTTTTTGATCTGTTTTATCCAAATGTACTAACAATTTGAAATAAAAGGACTTTTCATTTTAAGAACACTGAAGAGGCAGAGATCAGCACCCAAACCCAAAATGCAAACATCTGAGACTGTGCCTACTCCCTCCTTTGGCCTCATGACCCTTGATTTCTGTCCTGCACCAGGGCACGTTCTCCAAAGGAAGGGCAGAGCTCTGCTTCTGCTTGTTTCCTTTCCAGTTCCAGTGCCACATCAGGTTCGCTCATACTGCCAGCCTGGTGCCAATTGCTCTTTTCTGGGGAGTAAGAACTCTGAATTTGAACGCCTCTGTCTTCTTTTGCCCACAAATGCTAGCCTAAGGCAGAGGCTTACTACCATCACTTCTAGCAGACACGTTTCAAAATAAAGTGACATCTGTAACTACATTTTAAAAGGTTCAGTCCTATAAATGTAGACTGGGGAATGGGTAGTGCATGGATTTCAAATGGACTTAGGTATGATCTTGGCTCAGCCCCATCAGGATTGTAGCAGTCATCTGCAAATGCAGGTAGGTTTCCCATTTGAGACATCTCAGTCCTTTTAGTAAAATTTTGATATGTTTTCATAGTACCCATTGCAGATACATGCAATGTTTTATTGGAATCCCAGGCTGCACTTTTGGGGGACTTTTATTCTGTCTCCAGAGTTTAAATACTGGTCACACAGCACAGCTTGCTCCGGGGAACTGATTCCAGGTTGTTTAAACTGCGGAATACATACCAGTTTCCTTCCAGTCTCCGTCCCATCTTCCTTCCCACAAAACTTACGCTGTGGGATTTGGAGGTGGAATTGCTGCATGATCAGGTCTTGCAACTTCCAATGTTAGGCAGAGGCTTAGAAACCTGAACATGACTTCAGGTGTTCTTTTATTTCTTATTTTATGCATTTGTTTTCCACTACAAGCTCAAAAAAGCACATATTTCTCTAAAACAGATGATGCTTCATAACCTTCTTTTAGCCTCCCCTTACCCCTTCATGCCTTCCCATTCCAATCTATCCTCCTTCTTCCTTGTTGATTTTGAAATATTCACTCTGTGCCTCTATCTCCCAGTATTAGTGCCTGGGACGAACGATGATTTTGTGATTAAAGTTAAGTGTGAGAATCTAGAAAGCTGGAATTTGCCCTCATCAATAGCAGAGCTGGGTGTCTGTGAGGAAATACTCTATCTTTCTGATTATCAGTGTCTTCATCTGGTAAAGAAATCTATTCCTATATTGCATAATATGTGTATGGTTTGAGATATGTACACAAAAGGTTCATATATAGGTGTTTGAATTATTTTTACTGATAATACATGTTACTAACTTTGGTTGTGAAAATACAGTATTTTTGTTTCCATTTCAGCTGCGGTGAAAAAGGAAGGGGAAAAGAAAGGTAAATCAATTATTTTCCCTTGACTGAAGTGTCTTTCAGGCTGTGACCGCTGTAAGAAATGTTTCTTTCTTTCAGTGATACAATTGTGATGACATACACCACCTCATGTGCTACCATCAGCCGGCTTTATCTACTCCTACTGTGATAACACAGTTGTCATTTCCAGTATTGTTAGCTCCTTTTTACCACAGGCCAACACAGCCCAGTATCAGACACTTCATCGTTCTGACTGGGAAGAAAATGAAAGGCTTTTGTTACCATGTTAGGATTTGTCAAAGAGAACAAAACTTGCAGTGCACCATGCATGCTGACCTGGCTGTTTGTTCTTTGCAGAAGGCGCTTTCCTAGGGACATTTAATTTCCTCTTTTCAGATATGTATGTAGCATGAATATAAGATTTGCCAAAGTCATTCTTTGTTATTTTAACAGATTAGTAGAAAAATTTGCCCTGAATCAGAGCCTAAAACATTACTTAAAATGTTTAAAGATAAATATACTGTATTTATCAGACCCTAAATATCTATTTATAGTGTTGTCTTTCAGAATAAGATTTGCTGAGTTGAAACATTTTTTTGTAATTTGATGATTTTATTTCAACTGCAAAAATAATGAAATATTAGCAATAAGGTGATATTTTTCTTTAATCTATTCAAATTTATTGATTATTTGGTTTATAAGCCATATCTTGCCATATCTTGCTCACTAAACTGGGAACATTTCCAGAACTTTTCCATAGATTTCAGAGGATTATTTGAGACTAAGTATTTGTTTAGTATTGAGTAAATGAGAAAAGAATTGGCTCTTTATTTCTGAAGTTCACTGATGGGGGGAGTTTAATTTTTTGGGGGTGGGAGTGCCTTTTGTCCTTTCAAAAAGGTTTGGAAATTCTGTGATTCACATAGCTGAACAATGGAGCCAACTTTTGCTGTCTATACATGAAGACATTTTCAATCCTGCTAATTTATTATTTTTTCTGTTATCCCTATACAGAGTTGTTAACTGAACTGGAAAAAAATGGTAGTCTCAACTGTTTTAGCAGCTCATGAGTGAAATCTTGGCTGTGTTGATGTTAGTGGCAAAATTCACATTCACTCCACTGGAGCCAAAATTTCACCTCATGTGTTTAACAGAATAATAAAATTCATTTTGGTTCTCAAAACCAACCGTGCTTAATAGGTATCAAGCAGGATATTTTGTCCAAAGATTAATTTGCAACAACTGAGCCATGAAAAGCAGCACACAAAGCAGGGAGAATCAGAAAACTGGCAGCTACATTTACAGGCATTGGTTTTCAGACATCAAAATGCCTGCTGTGTTCACAGCCTTGAATTTATCACATGGACTGTTACATCCTTAATGGAAAGAAAGGAGTGAGGTAATTGCTAAGGGTGCTACTTCTGTCAGCCTTGCCACAGGTTATGGGCCCATTCATTTACAGAAGAACATCAAGGGAATTTGTTTGAAATACCTACTGCTTGCCCTTGGTTCATTTTTCATGGGTTAGGATTTTTTTCCTCCTTGACCATAATCTTCTCCAACAAAACTGATCAAAAATGCATTTTTAATGAACATTCTTTGAAGTTGGATGAATTTTTCCATTTCATTTTCTTTTTTAATATATTTTCTGTTAAAAAATCATTTCCTCTGATTTCTTAATTTGTTGAAAGGATTTTGCCAACAAGTGTAGGTAGGATACTTTCAAGCACCTGGCTCAGGGCAGGGTATACCTCGTCCTGCTGATTACCACCAACCTACTTCACAGAAACATGGAGGTGCAAAATGAAAGTCAGCTTTGGTCATTCTTCTGATATCATAATTTTATTTATTTTTGGACTAAACCTCCCTCTGGTTTTCTGAGATCATAACCAACATTGTCAGGAAGGAAGGTAGTGATTGTAGTGAAAAACATGCTAGTCCAATGAAATTTTCCAGTAACTAAGGAAAACCGGTTCAGCAATGTTACAGTCTTCAGTAGATATGCACTAAACTGGACAACTGGAGAGAAGTAACAAGGCCTCGTCCCAAAAATGAATATACCATGCTTTAGCTTTCTCATCTAGCTTCACACTCTCTGCAGGCCCGACACAGAAAATATTGCATGTTACTAGCTAACTCCCAAAATCACCAGGTTTTATTTATTTCTGCTTATTCTGTTATCATCAAAAATTGCTCCAGGCTGCATGTGTATTCCTCTGACTCACAATAAAAAGGGGCAATGTTTGCTGGTTTTGCTTAAGGAGACAGTATTTTTTGCCCAGCTGCAAAAATAATAGAAGTAGTCAAGCAGTGCTCTAAATTGACTGGCTCATTATCCAAAATATATTGTGGTAGTAGCATGCACAGTTCAAATACCACTTTATCATTTCTCATGCGAATCATGCAGCACATAAGCACTGTACTGTATACGAAGCTTTCTCCAATTATTCTGTCTTATTCAAATACACACCCCTCATCTAGAAAAACAAGAATAATGAACAATACAGAGTGACAAGCCATCATAAAAAGAGAAGAGAAGAAGATGGAATGACACTTTCTATCAATGGTACATTCTGTGCATAGCATAAATCAGACTTGAAGGAGTTTGAAAGAGACAGAAAAGAACAAAATTAAGATGAAGAAAGCTTACGTATTTCACTGATTTCTCCAAATATGAGTGATACTAACAGGAACCTTAAGGCACAATTTATGCATGAAATTTATGCATTAACCATTTCTATTTGAAAGGTTAGCTAAGACTTTGTGACCGAAATCCTAGCAAATAGTCAGCTTCAGTTTCTAGTACCATGTTATGCCTTCTTTCAACATGTGTGGGATAGAGGAGTTGTCATAGAAATGTGTAAAAAATTGTCAGTTCCTAAAGGGCAAAAGGTAGCAACCCTTTGCATGAGGAAGGTACTTCCTAAAATCCCCAAGAGCAAACCTGGCTGCCAGTACACGAATATTTTTAACTCTTGCTCATAATTCAAAGCACTGCAAACAGGGATTCAAGTGAATTACAATAGACACAGGTATTGGTGATGTGAGATAAAGCCCATCAGCTTCAGGGCATCTCCAGAAAACAATACAGAGCTGTAACACCAACATATTTCAGTTTTAAGTGCCTTTTTTAAAGGAAAGAAATGTTAATATTTTTAAACCAAAACAGTATTTTTATATTTAAAAAATATTTCATAGCTACAGAGTTCCAAAAATGCTTTGTGTGAAATGGAGCCAGATTAAAGCCAATGTCAAGGTTTCCCAGTTCTGCATAAAATGGAATTTCTCATTTCAGTTCATAGCTCCCATACCTTATTGATTTCTGACTAAAGAGGGCATGGACTGAAACGGGGATGTCAAGCAAGCAACCTTAACAAGCTTAGTGAGTTCTCTCTCCAGGTCAGTCTCAGGAAAGCTTGCCTGAAGATTCGTTACTTCTATGATTCTAGTGAACCCAAACAAGATTTAACCATCTCATAATCCCTGTGGGTTACACATCCACAGGCATACGTGTAAGAGGAACCATCTCATTGTTTAAAGTGAATCAGGAACCTGAGTTGCCAGGAAGCTAGTTTCTCTAGGCTCCCTACAGCTAATGAATGAGAGAGAGAGTACTCTGTCTTGCTTCTGAGAGCAAGTTAGAGTGCGCATCTAATTCAGGGTAGTTGTCTTCTTGGAGTCTCATCTCCTATATAGACTGCCTAGAGTTAGATGTTATGAGTACTTGTAAGCTAGTGAGATGCAGAAGCTAGTTGCCTGTCGATAACATGATTTCCGTTCTGATTTTCAGCATTATCACTCTGGCAGCTTGCTATTAATTCCATTTAATAGTTTTTAGAAAGCCGAAAAACACATTCATCTGACAAGTTTCATCAATAATAAATTGACAGGAGAGTATGCAGGATCATGTTTTGACCTTTTCCCAATAAACACATTATGGTGTAAAAAACTGCATATAGTCCGAGTGTAGCTAATATCAAACAAATGCAGAAAATGGGCAAGGCATGTACATTCCAGCTCCAAACTACATATTTTTGCCAATCCAGTAAAAGACAATTTCTTTCAATTACACCTGGTAATGGTACCCTATCCATCACTTGGAAACTGCTGCTCTGCATACAGAATGTGGTATGAACTGGCCAAGGCACAGCAGCATCCCTTTTCAATGTATATAAAAATTAAGATGCTTTCCAAACTGAAAAAGAACTGGGCAGTAGTGCATTTCAGAACTGCTTAGCTTTGGAGTTGACCAGAAAAACTGGAAGGCAGCCTTCTTGTTCATAAAGCAAATGGTCACAGCAGCGTGGGATGTCTGCTCAGCTGCAAATGCCACTGGTGCAACATGAACCACTGCCTCATTATGTAGTTTTCTAACATGCCTCAAAGGATAAGAAAGCGGACTACTTAATTCTATAACTGCAAAGTGTATTACACAACCCCCTAACAGAATGTATATTCCTAAACAGAGAAAACAAAAAGTAGAAATACTTTTAAAAGCATTTCTTAAAATAGTGCCAAAAATTCAGTGTTATGTATGAGAAAATAATAAAAAGTCACATGCTACTATGCTGTTTAAACTAGCAGTGCTATTTTGACTGTGGTTGAAGGTAGACATCTCTCTCAAGAGGTAACAGTCATTGAATTAGCCACAAGATGGAGCCCAAAGGATCTTCAAGACGGTAGTTAACATTGCCTTCCTCAATCAGATTAAGAACTAAATAACGCGGTTTTACCAAAGAACACTTTACGGGAGTCTTAAGCTGCAGACAAGGTATTCTTCAATGTAAATCCACTCCTGCCTAAAGATATTTTTCGTTTAATAGATAACTGGCCATACATTGGTGAGCTTTGACTTCCCATGCTGAAGCAACAAAACCCCGGCATTTTCAAGGAATAATGATGAATGGAGAATTTGTATGAAATATGGAAAATGCTTTGAAAAGTCTACACCAGTTAGCTGATATTTGCTCAACCTCTGTTTACCTTGTCTCAACTATCTTATGGTGGTATAAATAATTTGTGTC